GGTTCCCGCTCACTGGCTGAGCGCGGTGCGGGCGCAACACTGAGGGTTGCAATCCCGTTACAGGTCAGTAAAAAAGACAAAAAGGAAAAAAAGAATAAATAAATGTATTCCTAATATATGTACAGTGTATTAAAAAGGCATAGTTCATATTCACTGTTTTGCATTTCTTGTTAATAATGTACAAACTTAGCTTCTATTGAAAATGCAGGATGAAAAAATGACCCTTTGCAGTTTTTTCTGCAGTGCTCAGAATTTAGCTTTGTTATTAAAACCACATAAAAATAGACATTTGCCACTATCAATTGAGTTTCAGACTTTAAAGTCATGGTATTCATTAATAAATGGTAATTTCAAAGTTGATAACAATTCTTAGAGAGTAAGGGACTGTGATGAGGGGCAGAAACATTAAACCCTCTTGTTTCAAAAGGACACTGATATCAATGAATGGTAACTAAAAAGGGAAAAGAACAATTTAAATATGAGCCAACCAGCAAGGACCATAATTTTTTATTCAGTAAAAACAGGAATGGTGATTGCCAGAAACTGGGTTGTGGAGGAGGGAGAAATGGGGAGTTGTTGGTCAAGGGGTACAAAGATTCAGTTAGACAGGAGGGGTGAGTTCCAGAGATCTACTGTACAGCAAGGCAGCCACAGTTAACCATAATGTCCTGTGTACTTGAGAACTGCTGAGAGAGTAGATCGTAAAAGCTCCTCACCACAAAAAAATAACTATGTGCATTGATGGGTATGTTAATTATCCTTAGTTAATCATTTCACAGCATTTAAATGTATCAAAACATCATGTTGACATTTTTTATTCATCAATGATACCTCATTAAAGCTGGGGAAAAGATAGGAAATACTAAATTATGAAACAATCTCCAACCACAGCCAATTCAAGAAATAATAAAAGAGAATGAATATAGAAGGAAGAAAATCAGGAAGGAAGAAAGAAAAGAAAGGAAGGGAGGGTGGGAGAGAGGAAGGAAGGACAATAAACAAAGGTTAAAAAAATATATTTATATTTATACCAGGAGAAAACCCAAAAGAGGAAGGGCAAAAAAAGAGGGTGGGAGAAGAGGAAGAGAAAGACAAAGGGGCATCAGAAAAAAGAGAAAGAAATAGGAGAGAGATCTTTAAGGTCCAAAAGACAGAAGAAAATAGATAAGAAAAAGTTAGAAAAATGTGTACAGAATAATATGTACAGAAATTCACAGAAGTGTGAAGAGGCCTTAATCAGCAAAAGGAGTTGGTGGAAGACAGAGATACAAAGGCAAAGGAAAAGGGTTATAAGTAACAAAAACACAGTTTTGTTTTCATAGTAGTGTTAATTAACTGATATTCATCAGGCTATGGGCATGAGTAGGTGAATTATTATATTATCAAAAATCCTACTTAAAGTGGTCAAAATAATGGAAATTTTAATTCATGCTTCTTCCATATAAGTCACTGGCAATAACCACAAAAATGAATATAAATAGAAAAACATAAAACAAGGAACTGGCCATACCCAAATATGCCCAGTACTATGAAATCTGAAACAAAATATAGAAGTTAAAAGAGATAAAACACTCTATATCTAGATTCCAAGAGGGTGTAACATTCCCTTAAAGTGTCACTGAGAGATCTAGAACTTTAATGAGTGAAAGCAGAGGCAGAAAATGTTACTTTAGGAAGTTTTGAGGGAAAATATGACTGAAGAATATGTCTTGCGCAGTGAATCTGGACAAGTCAGGTTATGTGAAGCATACAACACTTCAGGAATACAAATGACACAATCTAGCCAACAACAAGATGATCAAAAATAAACAATAAAGAAGCCATGGCCAGATGACTGGTGTTGAGCAATGAATCCATTTCAATATGAGACTGCAAGTAAACAACTTGGGAATTGTAGTTGTGGGACGGAGTATAAATATTACAGACACAAGAATGTAAAAATAGCAAATTACAGCAGT